TAAAAGAGTCTTCCTTTAAAAATGCAAATGCACTTGATACTGATACAGCGACTAGTCCTATTCTCGTGACGAGTCCGTCAATACCAAGCACGTCGACCACGCCTGTGAAAGAACCGAGCGACGCGAAGGACGACACTACTTTCGATAAAGTTTACCTGGCACCTGAAAGTAAAAGTATAGAATTATTTTTCGACAGCATGGCACAGACGGTGAAGAAACTACCGCCTAAGGCGCAGGCGGACATTAAGATGCACATCTGCAAGCTCGTCACAGAGGCGGAGGTGCGGTATTCTGGCCAGACCATGCCGCAGACTACACAACAATTCATAGCGCCGCCTGGCATGATACCTAAGCTAGTATTGATACCTTGCAATATGATAGATAATCAAAATCCTAAAGTTTGATCCATTCATGTACATAGTACGTTGGATTACAATTATCAGATTTAGTACAAAACAATCACATTCATTTTACGTTTTACGTGTTGACGATGCGTTAAAAATTTGCTAACATGTAAGACTTTGCACATATGCATAAAATATCGAATGTCAGCTACACAAAGATTTCTTATATGGACAATAAAAGTCATCAAAGCTAACGCTTTAAATTACTTATTAAATTATTTGGTAAATGTTTACAATTAGGGCCTGATCTCCGATTACCTTGACCTTGACATATGTTGTCAAGGTCACCCTCCTGAGTGACCTTCAGAAGGTTTTAGTCGGGGGTCGCTTCTTATTAAAAAGTTATAAACAAAAAAAGTTTCGAAAATATAGCAGTTATTTTAAGTACTGAGGTATAAACGACTAATATTACGTTTTTCTTTAAAGCAGAGAATACTTTATTTCGCGAGAAAGTCGCTGCTTTACCAAAACACAACATTTAAAGTAGTAAATTGTTGATAAATTGAAGTCTTTTTGTTAAAGCAGAGAATACTTACATGGGTTAGATGACGCGCTTTAAAAAGTTGAATACTTTTAAAGCGGGTCATCTAACCCATGTGGCATCTCGCATATTAACTTTCCACGCATGAAAAGTTCACGTATACACTTTCCACGCGAACCGAGGTTCACGTGGAAAGTGTATGCGTGAACTATTTCGGGACTACCGCACCTCCCCCGAAAGCAGGGGGAATGTGCATGAACCTCGGTTCGCGTGAAAAGTGTATGCGTGAACTATTTCGGGACTACCGCACCTCCCCCGAAAGCAGGGGGGGGTGTGCGTGAACCTCGATTCGCGTGAAAAGTGTATGCGTGAACTATTTCGGGACTACCGCACCTCCTTCGAAAGCAGGAGGAGGTGTGCGTAAACCTCGGTATGCGTGAAAAGTGTATGCGTGAACTATTTCGACATATATATTAGTCATTTATGCCGTCCAATACTCAAAATAGCTGCTATATTTTCCAAACTTTTTTTGTTAATAACTTTTTAACGAATAGCGACCCCCGACTAAAACCTTCTGAAGGTCACTCAGGAGGATGACCTTGACAACATATGTCAAGGTCATCGGAGGTCAGGCCCTAATTGTAAACATTTACCAATTATTTAGTCCCTTTAGCAAAAACTAAAATTTACATGAAGAATGATCTTTACATAAAAAATATATGATAGAAATACATGAAAATATATATATCGACGAGTATTGGACAATATCTGATGTGATTTATGTTTCTGAATAACATTTAAAAAATTATGTATGTATTATATATTTTTGTAATAAAATGTGAATATTTGTATTCTGTTTCAATCATTAGAGAAAAAGACAACCTTTTTTTACGACTGCTACCAACCGAATATTGGCAAAAAGTCCGAGTGAATATTTTATCAAAATCAGTTTTCAAATTTAGTTTAGATAAATATAGTTTAATATCAGTTTTTCTCTTATAAGTTTTGTATATTAATTTGTTGTAGAGAGCATATAGTTATATTAATTATTTCATATAAAAAAAGCTGAAAAATAATTATACTATGTTGAAATTTGGCCAGTTTCCTAATCCTCGATTAGAACATTCGTTAATTATTCTTCCAGGATTTTTTAAATCTATTCTTCTCCCTTAGACTCCCGAAATTAATTATAAATAAACTTCTAATAGATTGTAAGCGAGAATGTAATCCGACACGAAAAATTGTTAAAACTCCATTACATAAATGCATTATTTAGATTCTAGAAAGATAACACACTGCTTGTTAAACTGCTACTATGTTTATCGTTCGTCAGGTGTAAAACTAGAATAGAATAAGCAAATAGCGCGCTCCCCGAACGCAGCCTATAGCGTATTGACGACTTATTAATGTTTATTAATGTATCTTTGATAAACAGATACTATGCAACTAAAAAAATTGTGTTACATAACTGCGAAAAAATATATTTGATTTTTACTCAGATTAAAAACTACAAGACGATTACAATAAGCATGATGTAGCGCGCATGCACGTGACACTTTACGTATTTTAATTTTTAAGTTAAATTATCTCTGAAATAAAATAACATTGCGTTCAGTACCAACGATGGAAATTATAAAAATAGTTATGATTGCAAACAAACGGAAAACATTATTTGCGTATCTAAATCATTTCATAACAGCAAATTAGGGAGAGAGGGAAGAAGGATGAATTGCTCTATTAGCGAACGATGTTCCAGAGGTATCATTATTATTATTATAGAGACCCTGTATAAATCAGGTAATTACAAATCAGTGCGGTATACAAATCTATCTTTTGTAAATCACACGTTTCCTAACACGGTCTAATTTCTCGAAAATAAATAACGGGAAATAAGTTCTCTCTTATCAGAGAGCTAAAAGCACGTATCCAGACCACGCATGCGCACGTGATCCTCACCGCGCGTCGTTTATAATCAGCGAGAAACTACAATTTTTTCTTCTTTTCCATCCGTAGTAACCGTAAAGGCCCTTGCATAATTCAATGTCAGGCAACAGGCAATAGATTTTCAACGTGTCGGGAGCCGTGAATCGGCTCAGTGAGCGATTCCTGGATGCCGCTAATTGCTGCAGCATTGCTACAGCCTACAGCCGTGTATCAATATTATTCCCTGTTCATATTGCCTATGTTTTTCATTGTGCATCAAGCTTAATTTGCAGTCTCGTCGGCACTCGGCAGAAAATAATATCAAACGTGAATCGACGATTTCGTCCGTTGATAAGCAGCCAAGATAATTTTGTTTAATTGTCGTTTCATGCCTCGATAACGCTGATAAACAGCTGTAAATGTTTCCCACTTTCCCAGTGGAAAAGTTTATATAAACAGAGCGATCAGCGATCTCTCCGGAACAGTTGAGGCTCGGCCGGCGAGGATGCTGCGACAATTGACGCGCGTGCAGCGGCACGCGGACCTGCTGAGGCAGCGTTCGGCGGCCCAGTTCGCCAACGACGCCAACTCTTCCAGGAAGCAGGTGAGTTGTGCGCGCGACGCGAACCGTCGACCGGGAGCAATTGGAGGTTAGGAGCCTGACGGATGACAGTTCGATCG